TAGAGCAACCATTATTTCCTTTAGAGAAAAAATATTAATGGATTAATACCAATACATTCATCCACCATCACTTGGTTATCATGAATCAGACTGTTCTTGGCAACTTAGCGGAATTTAGCAATAGGAATGAACATACTACTAATCAAATTCTAATAACATAGTAGGCAGACATCCTCCATGCATTCCTCAGTTGTTTCAGTCGATCCTGTCCAGTCTGGCAGGATATTCCAAATCTCATTATCTAAGGAAGGGTAGCTGGCAGGACTCAGAAGTCAAACCTTTTCTGACGTAGTGCCTACACCCCCTTCCCCAAGATCAGATTCGTCCACTCCCTGCTGGCCTTTCAAAAAAAACCTGGTACTTGGCTCAGATCTAGGGCTATAAATGTATAAAGCAGCTATGTCCTAAGTATATTAATTGTTACTGTTTTCTCAACTGCTGAGTATTGAAACGTTTTTATTTTTAAAATTATTCTTTACTTTTTTAATAATGTGAGCTGCTCAGAGTCGTTTGTGAGACTGGCAGCTATATTAGTTGATTAAATAAGTATATAAAAATCTTATCTCCTGCTTAATGGCCCTTTATTCTGTATGCTTGGTATCAAATCTTCTATGATGCAATTTTCAGAAAAAGTAGATTTCTTTCTTTTCTGGAAAAAATCAGGAAACAAAGCAAGCAGATATAAAATTGCAGCAAGGAACACTCTATTAACTTACACAAGACTTTAACACAATCTTCTTTCTTTTTTAACCGGTCTTTAATTTCTCCAGACACAAGTGTGGAATATGGACAAGCCAATTCTTTTAAAAAGCCACTCATTTCTAGTTGTAAACTTTCAACATCTTCACCACCTAAAAAAAAAAAAAAGTTAAGAGAGTATTATATATCTTCAACTCCATTACCATTTTAGGCACAATTATAAAAAAAATCCAGAGTCAGTAGTCTTTTAAGGGCTTTGAGTAAGCATCATTCTGCAACTATGTCCTTTGGACAGTAATGAATTATTTGCTTTATTTGCGATGGAATGTATTAAGGTGCAACTTGTGTATGTGTGTGTTTATGTATATCCTATTAGTATGCATTAAACCTTCATCCTCAGGAAAAGTCAATCCACAAAAAATATGTAAAAAATATCAATCATGCAATCATGTTTATACTGGCTTGTGCTACAGACAAATAAATAAAACTGATACAATTTAAACTTAATTTAGTTGGGCCTTCTTGTCTTTCATTAGAACAAAGAGAAAATGCTGTCATTTAAATTCATGGACCAGTTTTAAGAATACTGTGAACAGAACAAGTCACAAATTATAAACCATGGAAAGAGCTAAAAAGTTAGAAGCACACAAGGCCATTTCTAGAGAATATCAATAATAATCAACATGTAAACTGTTATAAACTGTATTTGCATAACACAGTATTCCAGTGGCAGGCAGGCATCACCTCTTTTGGAACTGATAAACATTTGGGGGAATTTACTCAACCACACTGCTGCTTAGTTTTAGCCTTTAGAACAACAAGGAAATAATCAATTGGCAATCCTTTCCTGTGTGTACTTGAATGTTAAAAACTGAACTATCAAAAAATGTCTACAGACATCAGCAGCAAAGGCCATCATCTCTGTACTTGGTATCTCATTATTGGATTCACACTATTAAACCATGTTGATATTTCTTTGAGCTAAATATAATGCAAGACTGCAGTCACATCAAATTAGTGGAATAAAATTAACCATGATTTGTTTTTAATTTACTAAATCAGTTGGAAACTGGTTTGCAGTTGCAAACTATTGCAACTATAATTTAATAAGATATAAAAATAAGAATGAATTGTTGGATTATGGGTTCCTTGCTTACTACTAATTTGCTTCTTTAACCAATTAAAGTTGCTAACTAATCTACAAATCAGTAGAAGGTAAATGCAGCAATAAAAAAGTACTCCTATAATTGTACAAGAAAGCCATCATTATTCTGTTTGCAAGAAAAAGTGGGTTGCTCAACAATTCAGTGTCATGTTAAAGGTAAAGCTGAATGTAAAAAATCACAAAAACTTCCATTGCAATGTCACTTTAAAACATGGAAGTGAGAGTAAATGACATTATAATGGTTTAATTTCAATGTATGACTCTTTATTTCCCATACAGTATGGAACTGTATTTCCAACAGTTTCAAATAAAAATCAGGTAAGAAATACCAGCTGTTGAAGAGATGCTTTCTTCCAGATTACACAATGGCTGTATTCTGGAACTTAGCCAAACACAAAGCTCACAGAAATCTTGGGAAGCCAGCCCACATTCTGTTGCTTTATTAAGAGCATCTTCATCCAGAAGAGGACCTTTATATCTAGAGAAAAATACAAAATTCAACACATATAAATCAAATATACACACACATATGTATATTCAAATTTTCATCTTGGTATCAATAGCAAGTTTATTTTTTCTTACTACAACTTCTCATAAGAGAATGATATAAATACAAGGAACTTGAAGATGTCGCATCCTCATGCCTCTGAAAAATAAAGTCTCTCTTGATCTTGACTTGAAACCTGAAGACCAATCAATCAATCAATCAATCAGAATAGAGGTGGAAGGGACGTTGGAGGTCCCTATACCATTTCAGACAAGTGGCTGTCCACACAGACCAACTGCTGGGATACTTTTTTTTACAATGTAGAGGGCTGGGATTTCCCATCCAAGTACTAATGAGATCCAATCCCACTTAACTTTTTCAAAATCAGCAAAGTTTAAAATATGGTTGTGGTATATTTATTCATTTTAATTTATCTGTACCTTCACCCAAATCTTGACCCCTGGTGACTGGCTGGATTAGTATCTGCAGGTTTTTTTGGCAAGATTCTTGGAACTGGTTTGCCATTGCCTTTTTCCTAGGGCTGACAGTGTGTAACTAGCCCAAGATCACCATCTGGCTTTATGTTTAAAACAGGACTGGACTCACAGTCTCCCCCTTTCTAGCATAATGCCTAACCACTACTCCAAACTGGATCTCTTATGATGTATTACAAAGCACATTATTTGGAAGTTATTGAACTGAAAGCAACCTGCCATTTTCCCACTATTTATACATCCTTAGGATCAGACTGTCAACTGACAATCAATCAACCAATCAATCAACATACAATTTTTAAAAATAATTTCCCACAAGACTCTAGTACACAGGTGTTATTCTTTTAAAATGCCCGCTTCCCCTCTATACTCTAGCAATTTAAATCACGTAGCAAAATGCAAATACTGCGTTTGAACGGATCAATTGCCATGTTCAGAGGCAATGTAAACATTAGCAATCAAGCCTGTAGCAGCCAACTACAGGAAAATTAAAACTCTGTGCACCAACGAAGAGGATGAATCGAATACAGAATATAAAAAGAAGAACCTGCATAACTACAACGCATTTTGAAAAGATTTCTCCGCCAGTCTTTTGATTCGCAGAGGCGGGGAGAGATGCTTGCATCTAACTTGGGCACGCGCACGACAAACGCCTCCAACAAAACTGCGGGAACAATCGCCTTCCCCCTCCCTCCCCGCGTGGTTTTTAAAACGAATCACGACGAGGCGATTCGATTCGATTCCTCCGGTGGGAGAACCGAGCGGGAAATCTGGAACGAGGCGAGGACTTTTCAACCAGCCCGCTCCAGCCTTCCTTTCTGCACCGCCAGGCAGGGTCCTTTATCTAGCCGCCGGATCGAATGTGCCATCGGTGTACGGCCTCCATTCAAACGGGAACCCCACCACCCTTGCCCCGAGTTGGTGGCCCTCCTCCATCTCACCCTAAAGACTCGAGCGCATCCAAAATAACGCACTCCATGTTGGGCTCTCTACTACGCTGTCAGCGCCTTCATTCCCGCGACTGCAGCGATCTCAGTCCCGCCTCCCGGTACAAAGCGCCC